CAACTTATCTTTCAGAAACATTCAAAGAACTGGATAGCTCAAGCAATTAGATATGGGCTTTAGTGAATTTCTTCTCCAAAAAACTCCTTTAAATCCAGCCCCGGTCAATAACTAGTAAAAGTTATCATCTCTCAGGTGTCAGCTGATCCCACTAGGAGAGTATTCATAGATAGCAAATGAGTTAGCTTTTTCAGCAGAAAGATGACAAACTCAACAGCCAAAGTGAATTAACACTCTCTCTTCCTTCTGGAGTTGATAGGTGACAGAGCCCAGTATATCCTGGGAAACAGTGCCAAGTCTGTAAATGTAAGAGCTAGGGCTAAATCAGTAGGGGTAATAGAAAGCAAAAATGACCTGAGGAAATGAAAGAATACGCAGAGAAAATGGAAGATGAGAGGGCACAGAGAATATATACTGAAGGAAAATTGACACTAAGGATGACAGGAAGAGCTATGACAAACAGCAGCAGGTAAGTAAAACTGGAGAGAAGGAACGGGTTAAGGAGGAAAAAGAATAAGGGAGTCAAAGTTATGTATTTATTTAATGTTCAGTATCAAAATACAAGTCCAGCACAGAATCTTTTAAGGCAGCCATAAAATTGTACATTAACTCCCTCCAATTCATTAGATCTCTCTGTATGTAGTGTGTGTCCACTATTTTATAGTACATACACATCTTTTTGTATATACCTAAAGAGCCCCAGAAAACTGAGCTAAATTTTGTAAGCTGCAGAAAAGATCCTGCCCACAGTACTTGATAGATTTCATAGACATTAGGCCTGGAAGGAACCTCAGAAGATCATCGAGTCCAGCCCCATTACCCAGGGGCAGGAAATCAGCTAGGGTCAAAGGATAAGTGTCCAAACATTTCTTGAAAGAGTCCAGAGTAGGTGCTTGCACAAGCTCTGGAGGGAGTCTATTCCAGGCCTTGGGGGTTCGGACTATATAGAAGTATGTCCCCCGAGGTGGAGTACCTTGCATTTTTCCATATTAAATGACATTAGGTTTATATCCACCCACTTAGGTAAGCCTATCCAGGTCAGCCTGAATCACCAGCCTGTCCTTGGGTGTGGAAACTCTACCCCAAAGTTTAGCGTCATCAGCAAACTCGCCCAGTCCACTCACTTCTGACACCAGTGTTAATAAAGATGTTAAAGAGAACAGGTCCAAGGACGGGGCCTTGGGGGACACCACTGGTCATGGAGTGCCATGATGATTCACTTCCGTTGACCACCACTGTCTAGGTCCAAGCTTAGAGCCAATTCCCCAACCATTGGACTTTGACGTAGCCAAGGCCACAGTTGGCTAATTTTTCCATGAGGAGATCATGGGTCACCAGATCAAAGGCTTTTTTAAAGTCCAGATATATGACGTCAATCTCTTCTCCCTTGTCCAGGTGATATGTCACCTGGTCATAGAAGGAGATGAGATTGGTCAGGCAAGACCTACCCACAACAAACCCATGCTGGCTGTCCCTTACGATGCTGCCATCAGCCAGCTTGTCTAGTACGGTCCCTTTGATAATTTTTTCCAGAATCATTCCAGGGATTGAGTTCAAGCTGATTGGCCTGTAGTTTCCCAGCTCAACTTTCCTCCCTTTCTTGAAGATAGGCACCACATCAGCCTTCTTCCAATCTTTGAGTACTTCACCTGAGCACAAGTTCTTGAATATCCCTGCCAGTGGCTGGGCTATGATGCCTGACAGCTTCTTAAGTATTTTGGGGTGCAATCTGTTAGGCCCAGCTGACTTGAAGGTGTCCAGCCTCTCTCAGTGTTTTTTTACAAGGTCTACAACAATGCTGGGTATAAATTCACCCTCACCCTGGCTGTCCCGCATCATGCTAGGCAGGACAGTCCCCCTTTGGGCTGGTGAAAAAACGACACAAAGTACCCATTAAGCAGGTTGGCTTTTTCCTGGGTGTCGGCTGTCAGTTGTCCCATTTGGTTTAGCAGGGGCCCAATGTTACCCTTGCTTTTCTTCTGATCCCCACATATCTGAAAAAGGACTTTTTATCGTCCTTGATATGTGTAGCCAGTTGGAGTTCAGTTGCAGCCCTGGCTTTCCCGGTTCATTCCCTACAGGTCCAGACCAGTGCAGAATACTCCTCCTTAGGGGTGATTCCTGTCTTCCATCCTTTATAAGCCTCTCTTTTTAGTTGTAAGAGGTCCACAAGATCCCTGCTGAGCCAAGGGGGTTGCTGTGCCCTTTTGCTACCTTTCCTCCAAGAAGGGATGGACATCCCTTGTGCCTTCAAGATCGTTCCCTTAAGGAGCAATCACTCATCTTGGACTCCCCTCCCTGACAAGTCATGGTCCCTTAGGGCCTCATCAACAAGCCTCCTGAGCTTGTCAGAGTCACCTTTCCTAAAGACGAGGACTTCTGCATTGCTGACTGACTTGCCAGCTTTGCAATGGATAGTAAAAGGGATCAGCTCATGGTTATTTTCTCCCAGCTTTCCTTCAATTTGTAGGTCACTGACTAGATCATCCCCTTTTGCCAGTTCCAGGTCCAGTAACACTTTATCTCTTGTTGGTCCATAGACTTCTTGAGTCAGGTAGAGCTTGTCCACGCACATGAGGTAGCTTTGTGACCGTTCAGATTTGACCGAGCGCTCTTCCCATGAGATGTCCGGGTAGTTGAATTCTCCCATGACAACTGTACACCGAGAGCATGCAGTCTCAGCTAGTTCCCTGGCAAATTCCTGGTCAAGCTCCTGTTCCTGATTAGGAGGTCTGTAGTAGACTCCTACCATTGGGTGCCCTGTGCCATGTTCCCCATGTATTTTGATCCAGAGGGTCTCCAGTTGTCCTCCATGAGTGCCAATGTCAGCTTGCAGGAATGTGTAGCTTTCTTTAACAGATGGAGCTACACCCCCCGCCCCTTTTTTCCGCACGATCTCTCCTGTACATGAAATAGCCATCTATACCTGTGGCCCAGTCATAGGTGGAGTCCCACCAGGTCTCCGTTATGCCTACGAGATTGTAGTCATTCTTGTTTAGTAGGAGGACCAGTTCCTCCTGTTTGTTTCCCAAGCTCCTGGCATTGGTGTACAAACATGTAAGCATCCCATTGAAAGCCCTAGGCTCCCTTGCACTCCCAGGAGGACGCCGTTCCAGAGCCGGGGTAGGAGTGGTTTCCCTTGGGTGCCCCAACCTGCTGGTTTTATAGTGGTAGCCTAGTGGGCCTCGCTTTGGTGGTAGTCCACCCATCCCCTGGCGGGCTTAGTTTAAAGCCCAGTTGAGCAGGTCAGCCATTCTGGCTTAAAAGAGCTTCCTACTTCTACAAACCTATTCATCTTAGGTGTGTATAATCAAAAGAAGAGAAGTTTGTTGGACAAAGAAGCATGATACTAGACCAGGGGAGGACAAAATGGCAGATCCGGGTGGCAGCTGGACTTCATTTCCCAGCAGCTCCTGCTCATGTCACCACAGCTGGTTTCCATGGAGACCCTAGTGGCAGCGGCACCACGACAGCATGGGGCCAGGTTTCCATGGAAACCGGCCCCAGCAGCACTGGCTGGGTGCCCAGCTGAACGGGGAGCTGCTCCGTGGATGGGGCTGGAATCTTGCAGTGCTGACAGCATGGTCTACAGCCAGGGCAAAGGCGCAGGCAGTGAATCACAGCTCTGCCCCAGCTCCAGACCACGCTGTCACCACTATAAGATCCCAGCCTTGGAGCAGCTCCCCACCCAACCACATGCCTTGCCAGCACTGCTAGGGTGAGTTTCCATGGAAACCCTAGCCCTGTGCTGTCATGATGCCGCTGGTGCTGGAGTCTCCATGGAAAATGGCTGCAGCAACAAGGGCATGGGCTGCTGGGAAATGGAGTCTGCAACAGGCCCAATCTGTCCCATGGGCCGGACTCTGCCCATATTTGTACTAGACTGAGGCAGAACAAAGAGTATTGGAGACATTTGGCCACAAGGAAATACTAGTATGTTACAGAGTTGCCAAAATACACTACCTGAACCATAATGCTCCTGCTGGCTTGATCCCAAAATAAACCTATTAAATGCTCACAGGCACCAGTACACAGTTGCAATTAACTCCATGAGTTTTGTTATTTCCCACTTTGCCAACACTTTTTCCTACCTGTTTTTCCTAATCTTTTGCATAGCAAAGGGTCCAAAGGATTTCAGTCCTGTAGACACCTTTGGAATAATTTTGAACACAAAAGATTAATTTCCTTAAGATAAGTTTGATTTAAAAATCCCAGTTTTCCTGACTAAGATTTCCCTTGAAAATAAGCAAAATGAAAAAAAAGAAACATTGCTACCTTTCTGTCTTAAGGGACTATTATACTACATAAGATATCTCTAATGGAGCTTAAATTCCTTTGTTTGAAATTTCATAAGTATTTTACTCCTACACAGCTAAAGGACTGTGACTTGTGGAATGACAATTCCAGAGAAGAACTGATTTCACTAGCTGATTAATCATGTGCTTTTCAGAGTAGTGATATTTATAAATGAACATAGATGTCCAGATTCCTTTTTGTTTAAAAGGAGGAGAAACTTCTGATCAGATTGTCAGCCCTAACAAGTTTTTTGAAACTGAAACAATATATAGGTCTTTCCCCCCACATCTATCTCCTGCCACTATCCCATAATCAGAAGGTTAGAGATGGAAAAGTCTTATAAGATACCATCTCTATTTCCCCATAAACTTTCTGGATCTTGAAAATTAATGCCATAGACCTCAAGAAAAAGTTACCCTGCCTTTTTCCCCTAAATGTAAATTTCAATTGGAAAAGTAACTGTGACACTATGTTGGCAGTATGGACCTCTTCACCTGTCACTGTCTTCATCTTAATTTCTATGCAATTCTCACACAATTACATGGCAGCTGTTTCCCCCTTTCTCCCCCCCCCTTTTTTTAATACTGTTGTCAATCCAGCAGTTTCACAGATTTTGTTGTTTGTCTTGCCATACATGACTCCCTTTATCATCATTTACTGATCTCATTCTATGGTACAGAATTTGAAGGAACAATACAACTTACTGTTTTGAGCCAGGGCTTGTAGCAGACAATCCAAGCATCCCTCCAAGCTATCTGCTGTGCTGTCAGTGGCTGTTATCTTCAGCTTCTTTAATGCATCGCTTAGATTATCTGCTTGGTTAATATGAAAGAGAGAGAAAATAAGTGTCTTCATCAATCTGATAGGAGCATCATAGATTATACACTTAAAGCCATTGTAAAGTAAAGTAGTCCTATTTCATTCAAAAAGGAAGCTATTTCTGTGTTCTGAGGAAAGAAAGAAACCTAAAGTCAAAGGTTTGGGATAAAATCAAGTCTTTTTTCAAATTTAAATATACATTTCTCATTCTGCGTGATTATGAGATGCCATTAGACATTTTATAAAATGCCAGTGAACAGCTCTTTTACCATCAATATTCTCTGAGCTTAGGTGGTTTAGGAATGGAAACCAGCAGCAGAATCTCTACTCCAATTTGCTACCCAGAAAAAAGCTGCAAGTAAACTCCTTGAATGTTTTCATCCGAAAAAAGAAAGGCCATTGCAAGTGCCACTTCTGCTTAGCTGTAGTTTTACTGCATGCACCACAGGATTCCATCTTGGCTATATTTTCAAAGCCCCAGTTAAAATCAGGACTAAGCTTACAGCCTCTTAAATAAATCAACATTATCAAACATAACATAAGCCCTTTGTGTTTTGATTATATAAACTACATTATTCTTTGTATTCAACTGAGCCATAAAAAATAAAGAAGCTTCTAGAAATCAGAGAATCCCATTTTCAATGTCAGATTATGAAATCACACTTTTCCCAAAAAATACCTGGAGTGTAATTTTCTGTGAATGAGCTCTGATTCTCATAGCAGCGACAGTGACTGTCAGTGCAAGCATCTCAAGTATTTTGTTTATTCACAGACAAGGTATAAGTGTTAACAGCTGCAGTGCAAGTCTCTTCAGTTTGCCAGCTGATGACTAACCTCTATCTGAATGGACTCTCCTTTTAAAAAGCATGAGTGGTAATTCAGTTTCCATGCCAACTCAGCCAGTAAGCAGAGACCACTTCTCAAAACAAATAATGTTAAATACTGTCTAGCTGTCTACTGTTCCCAGTGACTAATCAACTATCCCTGACCTAGTCCTCCAGTACAGTGGGAAACAGATGATTTGTCCTATACTGCTGGCACACTATGCATCCAACAACAACATATCCATTGACAAGTTCACCCCAGAGCACGAGGAGCCAGCACCTGTTAATACCATGCCTCTTCCTTGCTACCAGTATATAGAGTGGAAATGGGAAGATGGTCAGGGCTTCTTTTATGCCCCATTTTTTTTCCAGTTGACATCTCCAACCTTTGTGGTCCCTAGCAATCAACATAAGCTAAAACAGCCATGCCAAGAGGATGAGTGTCCCCACCTAGTTTGGGGAGAGAAAAACCCTGTTC